TGATAAAAAGAATTTGAGTTAATGATTGTTATATGCTAACCTAGTATATATTAGACAGTTAGGTTTGAATTCTAGGTCCCTAATCCACCGCAGGTTATTTACTGTACATGACATTGCCCAGGTATGCTATTAATGGTCATTACCTGTAGAAGAGACTGGATAGGATACAGACGTATCTGATGTTTGTGTAAATGTGTTACAATTGATGTGCCATATGATGGCAACAACAAGGGGTATCATTTAAAGTTGTACTTTAATGAAGCTCATTTTCCTAAATTTGGTGCATGCACATGTAGAAAATGTCCATGTTGAAAGAGTGCATAGACAGGTGCTGATCCAGGAGGAAGAATATNCCCCCCCCCCCCCCCCTCCCCCTCCATCAACTCCCTACAGAATTGACCCGAATTCCAATGCAAGCATAATTATAAGGCTATCATCAAACCAACATGGCAAGGCATCAATTTTATGATAAAAAAGGCTTGGGACATTGTACAGGTGTCAAAAGGTGAAAAGGGGCTTACATGGCGATTGTGTCAAGACATCAAAGAATGCTTACACGGGGCAGAGAGTTAAGGAGATATTAGGATTCAGTAGTGCTGGACATGATTCAATGATCTCGTCAAAAGTAAATGCCATTCCATGGGCAGACGTACGCGTGTGCACCAGTTTAAATAACAAAAAATAGACATATGTCAACCGGTGCAGAATGTGACACAGCAGATGGTGCAGACAAGTTGTGCCGGATCATTGGATTCCGGCAATATAACTGCATCAATGTGTCTTTACATGAAATACACGTGGGCAATCATTCATAAACAAATGCCTGGAGAGAAACAGTTTATCTTCTTGCGTGCTAGAGTTTGGTGATCATGGCCGCAGTATCATGTTTGATATTATGTGGAGTATTTTACTGAAGACCGGTTTTGATAAATTTTAAGAATTAATTTGAAAATATCTTGCATATGCATGTTTAAGCTTCATAGCAAATAATTCTAGCAGGTAAAAAGCAATCTAGACCTTGTTTTTTTTGTTTTTATTACTTTCCATGTGCATATATATATTTGGAGGAACTTCCACATGTATAGAATTCAGTGGATGAAAGCAAATATAGATATACATCACAAGATCAGGGTCTGTTGATCACTGTGAGTCTGGTGCAACAAAGCCACTTTGGTGACTATGAAAAAGGTTCTCCTCTCACTGAAGCTGCTATATCTATAACTCTTTGGTATTGCATTGGTTGCTTTGGGCTTTGTTTCATCAATTTCTGCATATTTTTCTGATACCTATAGCTACCATGTAAGAATACATACCACCAACCTTAAACTGAAGAAAACAATTAATTTAAATCCTCTTTACTTCATCAGCCCTATTTTCAAAACACATCAAAACATTGATGTTTCAAAATGAATCAATCGGTGTTTAAATTATATGTAATACCACACTGCAGTAATGAAATTTAGGATGTACACACCGCAGACAATTGGGCTCTGTAATATAGATTTGTTACAGATCTAGACCTACCGAAAATTTCACAAACCACTCGTTGCCCAAGATAATTTTACTTACATATTTAGAAATTGATATCGGGCCAAAGAAAAAAAAATGGTTAGTTTTGGGTTACCCTATATACCTACCCTATTTCTGTTTGCCTACTCTAAACTCTTTTTGGCATAGGTTACAAGGAAGCACTGTTAAAGTCATAATTATTCTCCCATATATACACCTTATAAAAAAATAATGATAAATTAGATTTATTACCTAACCTAAGTTTTTCAGACGTGTTACAGGGAACGAACATGTGTTTGTGTTTGGCCTCGTGAAATTAAGATACTATGGATAATATAGGAATAAAAGTAATTTTACAGATTATATTGAAGTTGCAGTGAATCATTATACTTAGAACATAGAAATAACGTCATAGATATGAATGATTCCCATAGATCTACTGTGTTTTACCTGGTGATAGTACAGGTATATGGGTATATATACTGTACACTCCTGTCATCACTGCAGTGAAACTGTCCTGGATATTAATCCCTGTACATTAAATTAAAGCAGTATGGATATGTAGGGATATGTAGTATTTCATTCAGCTTTAATTTGTAATAAACAGTTGTGGCCTACATTTGAAAGAACACCTGGCACAGGTGCAAATAGACTTTTTTCTCGTTTAGAGCTATAAGGTAAATCTAGACACAATGTAACTGTTATATACGTGGTAGGTCAGAGTTGATATTACAGAGTAGATATTATTGCTGTAGGTAATGTTAATTTATAAAAACAGTAATTGTAGGTCTGCTAGAATGAATTTTACCATATTTATCTGGCAATAGGCCCATTCCTTGTAATAAGCTAGCCCATCCATTCCAATATATATTGCAGCTTGGTAGAAATGCAAGCAAAGGCTATTTCATTGTCCTGTAATAAGCTCAGCCCTTACTTAGAGCTGGAGATTATATGTTGTCTCCCTGAGGTTAGCTTGATGAATAAATATGGTTGTTTTGTATGGAACCACCACCACCACCACCATTTTATATATATAATTACACAGCCATTTAACTTCCCTTCTTTACGAGAACAATATCTTTAGGATCCAAGTGTTCCCAGGCGCTAAATAAGGACTTTCTGTCACATGACCTAAGAAAAATCTTCCCCTGAATCACTGAAATGTCTTTGATTAAGTCAGCGAAATCAATCTGATATATCCACATCTTGGTCAGTTGCAGAACTGCTTTCCCTTTCTGTCTTCCAAAACCTATCCTCTTAACTTTCAGAACTGCTCTTCATTTCTTTCTTAGACAATAAAACATTGAGCCAGTCATCCTGGGGACAGCTAATCAGAATTGGTGCTTTACCTACTTAACCTTACAACTTCCTTTCTCCCGAACTAGAAAACATCACATCAAAACCTGCCAGGCCAAATATTCTATTCTGTTTCATGGTAGAACACTTCACAACTTATACCTTTCAAATAGCATAATTAGTACTCCTCCCTTTCAAGTGGACAACCTTTCAATTTGAATGGCCATTTTTTTTGTCATTTGTTCATGCTTTATATGAAGCACTTCAGAAAAAACCCATCTACAGTCCTTATAAAAAAAATGGAGGAAAAACTTTTTTTTTTTTTTTTTTTTTATAAATAGTGTCATTTTATCCCCATTTAAAAATGTTGTGATGCCCAAAATGCTGGTGGAAAACCCCAACATCTTTTAGCTACATCAGCATCCCCTAGAGATTCAGCGTTCATGCATATGCTGCACATACATACAAACTTACACACACAAATATACCACTGAAGAAGAAGTTGCTAGAATGTTGGATTATTTGAGTCAGTTCTGCCTGACTCGATCCTGATGCAAACTGTTCCCTGTCGACAAAATCAATATGACGAGAGTATCGCAGCGGAGAGGGGCTTAACACTATTGATCAGGCTGGTGTGTTCTTGCTGGGTTAGAAGCTGCATGAGGCTACGATGTAACGTAGAAAGTGATTTGAGTGTTTCGTAACCCTGTTGTATGTAAATTGTAATTCAGTTTCTAGGTAGTGGTATTTTTTTACTTCAGGTCTGCATGCTTCAATATCAAATGATACAAATGTAGATGGTGATATGTTGAACGAACATACATCCATTCATTTTACTTTGTCTTCTTAAAGTCGTTGTGTTCCAATGAAGCTGTAAGATCCAATTAGACATATGCTACCGTAAATCAGGCAACATTTACCTGTAACTTGTGTTAAACTTAGGGTTATGTTTACTTTGTCTACTTATAGTCAGTGTGTTCCTATGAAGCTGTAAGATCCAATTAGACATATGCTACCGTAAATCAGACAACATTTACCTGTAACTTGTGTTAAACTTAGGGTTATGTTTACTTTGTCTACTTATAGTCAGTGTGTTCCTATGAAGCTGTAAGATCCAATTAGACATATGCTACCGTAAATCAGACAACATTTACCTGTAACTTGTGTTAAACTTAGGGTTATGTTTACTTTGTCTACTTAAAGTCATTGTGTTTAAAATTCCAATGAAGCTGTAAGATCCAATTAAACATATGCTACCGTAAATCAGCCAACATTTATCTGTGTTTCGAAGGGTTACCTGTCCTTTAAGAAAGGAATTAAATAGTCTCGTCTAATAACATTAAATGGTATAGTTATATTTGTTAATTTTGTATATATCTTCTAAATTCCTAACCAATTAATCAACGAAGTTCAAATTATGATTATGCCCATGCCGCTTTGGTGTCTGTCTTTTCTGTCTGTTTGTCTGTCTGTCTGTTTTTTCTGTCTGTTTGTCTGTCTTTGTCTTTCTGTCTGTCTTTTCTGTCTGTTTGTCTGTCTGTCTGTCTGTCTGTCTGTCTGTCTGTCTGTCTGTCTGTCTGCCTGTCTGTTTGTCTTTTCTGTCTATTTGTCTGTCTGCCATCCATACTTGTCTGTATGACAACTTCGTGAAACTTAGCGTTTATATAAGGATTGACCTTCATTTTGATGGCATGTATAGTAGAATGAATGCAGTTGATAACTAATTAACATATTCTATGGTTTACTTGGCTGAAGAAAGGAGAGATGTAAATAGTAAGCATTATATTTTACAGAAATTTAAACAATTCCTTTTTCTTGGTTGGAGAAATAAAAAAAAAGCTCTTTTCAAAGTAAAATATTGTACAGTTTTATCATGGATATTATATATAAATCTTAGTTTTACATAAGATCTTGTCCGAGTAAGTCATGTGTACATGTGTGCATGTATATATATATATATATATGTACCAACAGATGCAATATGGGAATCTCGAAGCAATTCCTATTCCATCTGACTTCTATGAAACTAAATATGTGAAAATTTAATAGTTGGTAGAGATTGCATGTGCGATAGAAATTGATTTTAGATAAATATTACAATTTAATATATTTTGACTGACCGGCATATAAATATGCAAGACCTTAACTTGGTTTCAAACTTTGTTCAAAAAGACGATTCTCTTTATGTGTTACAGGCTTTGGCTGCCAATGTTGATGCCGTCTCTCAAAACACAAAGGAGAAGCTGACTCACATGGTGGCATACTCATGCGACCAGAAAGATGCCCCACTGATGTACAAACGCGCAGATCAGAAGTGGGAGGCAGCCGTCACGACACGGACTTCAACTTGTCTCGACAATCTACAAAGCATCTTTGATTACTGTAAAGAGGTATGTATGAATTTTGTTCGGTCTATTTTTGTGAAAAGTTTTTTTTTTATTTTTATTTTTTATTTTTTTTTCTCCAAAAGATGGTTGATATGATTTCTTGTCAAAATACTAATTGAACTGGCGTTAATTTGCAGCATTTCATAATTTGCTTGATAAACTTATAAATGTAAACAGGTGTTAAAGCTTTTTGGAAAAAAAATAAAAGGAGTTTGAGATATAAAATGTCTTGTCAAACATACAAATTAACCTAACACAAGTTTGCAGCATTTCATATTTGTTTGATGAACTTATGTAAACAGATGTTAGAATTTTTTGGAAAAATAAATAAAAGGAGTTTGAGATATAAAATGTCTTGTCAAACATACAAATTAACCTAACACAAGTTTGCAGCATTTCATATTTGTTTGATGAACTTATGTAAACAGATGTTAGATTTTTTTGGAAAAAAAAATAAAAGGAGTTTGAGATATAAAATGTCTTGTCAAACATACAAATTAACCTAACACAAGTTTGCAGCATTTCATATTTGTTGGATGAACTTAGATAGGTGTAATAATTTCTGTAAAATGAATTCCTAGTCAAAAGTATAAGCACACCAGCACAGTATTGAAGCATTGAGTGGTCTGTATTATACAGTTCAACTCCGCAAAAGGGGGTTGAATTTAGGACTAAAATTTGACTGTGTAATAAAATCTTCGAGTGAGTTCTTGGCCCAGTTGTTCAAAGTGTGATTAGTGTTAATGAACTATTAACTCATTCACCCCTGAAGTTTTATAACGAACTATTCCAACCTTTGAATTGGAAGAGTACACATGTGTCTTCAGGAATGAATGAGTTTTAATACAAATCTCCCAAAAAATCCATTTTGTAAGATGTGTCTGGAAATTTTAAATAATATTATGACTTTTGTCATAAAATGACAATTTGATTCTTCATTGATGTTAGTTTTGAGTTTTCATCTTCTATAAAATATATTGTTTTGAATATTTGCCTTGTCTCTCACAGCTAATCAGGTTATTTTAACATGACTGCAAAATGCAACAAAGAATGCTTAAAACTTTCAGTACTGCAAAGAATATGTGGCTGAAACAAAACAAGCCCTTTGAGGGTTCCCACTGTGTCTAATAGCATCAATGAAAGGTTGTGTTGGTCCTGGGAATTCATACTAAAACAAAGCTCAGGAATGCCGAAAGAGTTCAGGAGAACTACATAATAAATATATGGTGTTTTCAATAAGTGAAGTCAGAGCTGTAGTTATAAAACCAGACCTATAGCTAAAGTCCCATTGTATACATATTACCAAACCTTGTTAAATTGTAGTCGTACTACAAAAACAAATCCAGACCTATAGCTGAAGTGCCATTGTATACATATTACCAGACCTTGTGAAAGTGTAGTTGTACTACGAAAATAAAACCAGACCTATAGCTGAAGTCCCATTGTATACATATTACCAGACCTTGTGAAAGTGTAGTTGTACTACAAAAATAAAACCAGACCTATAGCTGAAGTCGCATTGTATACATATTACCCGACCTTGTTAAATTGTAGTCGTACTACAAAAACAAAACCAGACCTATAGCTGAAGTCCCATTGTATACATATTACCAGACCTTGTTAAATTGTAGTCGTACTACAAAAACAAAACCAGACCTATAGCTGAAGTCCCATTGTATACATATTACCAGACCTTGTTAAATTGTAGTCGTACTACAAAAACAAAACCAGACCTATAGCTGAAGTCCCATTGTATACATATTACCAGACCTTGTTAAATTGTAGTCGTACTACAAAAACAAAACCAGACCTATAGCTGAAGTCCCATTGTATACATATTACCAGACCTTGTTAAATTGTAGTCGTACTACAAAAACAAAACCAGACCTATAGCTGAAGTCCCATTGTATACATATTACCAGACCTTGTTAAATTGTAGTCGTACTACAAAAACAAAACCAGACCTATAGCTGAAGTCCCATTGTATACATATTACCAGACCTTGTTAAATTGTAGTCGTACTACAAAAACAAAACCAGACCTATAGCTGAAGTCCCATTGTATACATATTACCAGACCTTGTTAAATTGTAGTCGTACTACAAAAACAAAACCAGACCTATAGCTGAAGTCCCATTGTATACATATTACCAGACCTTGTTAAATTGTAGTCGTACTACAAAAACAAAACCAGACCTATAGCTGAAGTCCCATTGTATACATATTACCAGACCTTGTTAAATTGTAGTCGTACTACAAAAACAAAACCAGACCTATAGCTGAAGTCCCATTGTATACATATTACCAGACCTTGTTAAATTGTAGTCGTACTACAAAAACAAAACCAGACCTATAGCTGAAGTCCCATTGTATACATATTACCAGACCTTGTTAAATTGTAGTCGTACTACAAAAACAAAACCAGACCTATAGCTGAAGTCCCATTGTATACATATTACCCGACCTTGTTAAATTGTAGTCGTACTACAAAAACAAAACCAGACCTATAGCTGAAGTCCCATTGTATACATATTACCCGACCTTGTTAAATTGTAGTCGTACTACAAAAACAAAACCAGACCTATAGCTGAAGTCCCATTGTATACATATTACCCGACCTTGTTAAATTGTAGTCGTACTACAAAAACAAAACCAGACCTATAGCTGAAGTCCCATTGTATACATATTACCCGACCTTGTTAAATTGTAGTCGTACTACAAAAACAAAACCAGACCTATAGCTGAAGTCCCATTGTATACATATTACCCGACCTTGTTAAATTGTAGTCGTACTACAAAAACAAAACCAGACCTATAGCTGAAGTCCCATTGTATACATATTACCCGACCTTGTTAAATTGTAGTCGTACTACAAAAACAAAACCAGACCTATAGCTGAAGTCCCATTGTATACATATTACCCGACCTTGTTAAATTGTAGTCGTACTACAAAAACAAAACCAGACCTATAGCTGAAGTCCCATTGTATACATATTACCCGACCTTGTTAAATTGTAGTCGTACTACAAAAACAAAACCAGACCTATAGCTGAAGTCCCATTGTATACATATTACCAGACCTTGTTAAATTGTAGTCGTACTACAAAAACAAAACCAAATCTTCAGTTGAAATCCACATGTATAAATATTACCAGAACTTGTTTACTATATAAATAAAACTCAGAAGTTTTGCGATACCAGGTCAGACTTTCAGTCAAAGTCCCACTCTTTAAGACATGAGAGCTTGTCCAGAATAGAAATCAGTTTCTGTTAGACACTCATGACAGGTTTTAGTATACAGTTACTATTCAGCCTTTTCAGCAATACTTAGTATCCATTGGTCACTGTAGATGAGTTCCACATTAATACTTATTAGTTTCTAGTGGTCACTTTAGACAGGTTTCACAGTAACACTAATTAGTTTTAAATGGTCCTTTTAGACAGGTTTTATAGTAACGGTTATTGTTATCTCTATAGCTAGTGGTCACTTTAGACAGGTTTTATAGTAATGATTAATATCCATTGGTCACTGTAAATAGGTTCCACAACAGTGTTAAATGGTCCTTTTAGACAGGTTTTAAAGTAACGGTTATTGTTATCTCTATAGCTAGTGGTCACTTTAGACAGGTTTTATAGTAATGATTAATGTCCATTGGTCACTGTAAATAGGTTCCACATCTGTTTTAAATGGTCCTTTTAGACAGGTTTAACAGTATTGATTAATATCCATTGGTCACTGTAAATAGGTTCCACATCGGTTTTAAATGGTCCTATTAGACAGGTTTTACAGTATTGATTAATATCCATTGGTCACTGTAAATAGGTTCCACAACAGTGTTAAATGGTCATATTAGACAAGTTTAACAGTATTGATTAATATCCATTGGTCACTGTAAATAGGTTCCACAACAGTGTTAAATGGTCCTATTAGACAGGTTTAACAGTATTGATTAATATCCATTGGTCACTGTAAATCAGTTCCACATCGGTTTTAAATGGTCACATTAGACAGGTTTTACAGTTATGCTAACTATTCTGTTAGTTACCAGTGTTGCAGTAGTAAGGGTTGGGTGAACAGCAATACAACACCAATCTCACAATGGGTTGGGTAAACAGTTGCGGCAGGACGGAGTACAAGTGTAAGGTACGTACGGTATCTTATATCGTTCTACAGGAAGATATTTCATATATAAGACATAGATACCTACTGACCTAGAATAATATGTCATGTCACAGACACTTGTGTACATTGTGGATCGCTCCGGCAGCCTTTCGAGTACCTGTCTACAATACCCAACGAGATCTATCTTGTGGGGAATCTACCTGTGTGTATTAGGATAGTATGTCAAATTTAGACACTTATTGTACACTTTTTATGAATGAATGAATAAATAAGATAACTATGTATTACATGTATGTCATGGGACGGTCAGAGTAGATATTTACAGAGACAAAGTTTAGTGAATAAACTAGTAATTACAGTGATAAAGTTCAGAGATTATACAAAAACTCCTATAAGGTCTGAAAATATGTCAAATAGTAAAATCATGGTTGTCAAAGCCAGGGTTTTAATACCCACCGTCGAAATATTATACTCCGGTATTATGGTATCTCCCCCATGGAAATTAAAAAAGTTTGCAAGCAGGTTACCATGAAATCTTGGTAAGGCCTGTGGTATGTTAAGTATAAAGGGCTGCCACAATATATCGGAACACAGGTATATCACAATACATGTGTATATCATACCGTATCACAATACAGAGATGAAATATTGCTGTATCACAATATTTTTCAAAAGCATATTTTTATGTATCTGCTTGGTGTTTTAACTTTGCAAATTACTACAAATTCTAACAGATATGCCATTAAACATAAAGCAGACTTTTAATTTAAATAGATCAAATTTTGTAATCGATGGTTGGTTTGATAAAAATGTTCAATCAACGTCATCCATATTATTATATGATTAAGTTTGATTTGTTTACCTACTCATGTTTTTCTGTTTTTACAGGTGTATACGGATGCTGACATTTTGATTTGTTTACCTACTCGTGTTTTTCTGTATTTACAGGTGTATACGGATGCTGACGTTTTGATTTGTTTACCTACTCGTGTTTTTCTGTATTTACAGGTGTATACGGATGCTGACGTTTTGATTTGTTTACCTACTCGTGTTTTT